AAATAGCAAGTTTCACAATATAAAAAAGATCGACGATCGATTTTGTCACAAGTGATAAAACGAATGTCCACTATGCTGCTATCCCATGTATAGTGTTAACTAATGAAATTTTTTTTTTTGAAAAAATTTTTGTGCACAAAAAATCTAAAAATAGTAACAAATTTTATTGGTTGAATTTTTAATCAAAAAAAAAATATTGAAATACTCGATTTTTTCATCGAATCTCTCTTTTTTTTTTCTTTAAAAATAATTATTTTGAATAAAAAAAAAACATAAATGCATATAATGAAATCCTCATACTTGAACTTTTGTTCTTTTGGAACGTATAACATCAACATTAATACCATTATACACTATCTCATGAAATAGTTCTTTGGCACATTCAATTGATTGAACACCAATACAGACGGTTTTAAACCTTCTTGTATCAACTGATGAACTGCTATCAATCTACCTCTAACATAAACAAGCTTTTGTTTAATAGCATAATGTTCATTTTATCTGGTTTTGTTGCAGTATGCCATATATGTACTAGATCATTGACAAGTTCTATTTCTTCTAAAATCCAGTATATAGTAATAAAGAATCAATCCATTGAAGATAATATTCCTTTAATCGCATGATTGATACCATGCCCAAATCAACCTTTTTTTAGACTTTTCATTAATAAAAATAGATTTATTTTTTCTTTTTAAAAAGAGTTTCTCATGAGAGCATTTACATTTTTAATTTTTTAATAAAAAAAAAAGAAAAATTTCAAATTCTTAATTCAATTTACAATAATAATTAGATTGTTATCTATTAACCAATAATTCAAAGACCTTACTCTCAAAGGTTTTTAATTTGAACAACCTGCCATTTACTACTGCCTTTGATATATTCTTATGTTACTAATTTATAACTGAGGATGACTAATGACATAATAGTTGGTGAATATTGGCTGGTTGAAGACAAAATTGGTGAGGGTGCCTTTGGCCAGATCTTTCGAAGTATTATTTATTCCTTTATTTATTTTTTCACTATTGTCATCTATTGATTGCAATTGATTGTGTGCTATAAAATGATTCTTTCTCCTTATTAATGTTAATAGCTAAACACATTATAACGAAAAATTCGTATGCTCTCAAGAGAGAAGAATCAACTGTTTACAGTCCTCAACTACCAGATGAGTACAAATTCTTAAAATTATTAGAAGGACATGGTAAATTTCTTTTAATAATTTCTATAGAATATCGTCAAGTCACGAATTACTTTTCATATTATACTAATTATTATTTAATTTAATTTTAATTGTATGCTAATTATACATTTATTAAAAAGATCATATCCCTAAAGTTTATTGGTATGGTGAGAAATCAGGCTGGAATTGCATTGTTATCGACATGTTAGGGCCAAGCTTACACATGTTGTCAAAGGTATTTTATACTTTTCCTGTGGACTTTGTAAGTCACGTCGCACTCCAAATGGTATGTATAAGACATAAAAAATATAAATATAAATAAATATATAGATCCAAATGATTGATTTTACTGAAATTAAAAGATGACAATTAAAAAATTTATTATTAATTTATTATTATATTTGAATATATATAAATATATATAAATATATATAGGTGACGACCATAGAGTATGTACACAGTAAGGGAATTGTTTATCGTGACATAAAGCCAGACAACTTCCTACTTGAAAGCAATTTTCCAATATCTTTAGACCAGCTACTAGAACTTGATGAGTTCGAATCGATTGATGATTCCAAAAGGTTTCAAATGTTGGTTGCAAGAAAGTATAAAACTTTTCTGGTCGATTTTGGACTGGCGGCATATTATATTGATCAAAATACGGGCAAGCATATACAAATAAACAAAAAAATGATAAAAAACAAGACTGGTACCGCCCGTTACACCAGTATTAATGTCCACAAGGGATATCGTAAGTTATTTATCAATAGAATCAATATTATTAAAGTCTTTTATTAATGCCATCAGGAAAATTTTTCTGAGGTGATATTACACAGTTAAGTTCTATCTATACGATATTGTTTAACATTACGGGGCCTGGCACAATATTTATTACACAATAATAAAAATTGTAAGTTTTATGGCAGGCTTGCACCCAAAAAATTTCCTGATGACTGCTACAATGAAATAATAATAATAAAACGACTATGAAGAATTATTACTTAAATTATTAAATTATTTATTTTTTAATAGAACATACTAGGCGTGACGACATGGAATCATTGGGATACATTTTTTTAGAGATGTTAAGTGGATCTCTTCCCTGGTCAGGGACTAGGGTCCTTCGTTCTCAAGATAGGTGGGCAAGAATGAAAACAATCAAGAGTGACACTTCTCTTGTTGAATTGTGCAAGGGATGCCCAATGGGATTTTTGAAGTATCTTGAATATTGTAGAAGATTAAGATACAATGAAAAGCCGGATTATGATTATTTAAGGAAATTGTTGATGTATGTATCTCTCTTTTCATTTTATTTGTTATAAAAAAAAAACACTTGAAAATATCGTTTATTTGCTATACATAATATATTATGATTTAGTGAATCTACAGGATCTGGTTGTGAAGCTGAATTAGTTGCACAACATTCAAATTCGTTTAATACTCCATTCAGGAATGACGTGTCATCATCTTCACGTTCAAGAACATATTCTTTGCCATTCAAAGATCTAGAACAAGTTGATCATAATGTTCAGCGTAGCAACATTTACAATAACACCAATTGTAAAGATTATTATCTTGATAAAAGTCATAATGATAATCGAAACAAAAAAATTACAAATATTAAAAAACCAGTTATAAATAGTTGGTTTGCTCCAAGAAATCCTGTTACTCTATGGGATCAACAAGCTGCTGAGCTTGAAAAAGCTTGGAACAAAGGCCAATCGTGGAATGGTAGTAAAGATGATGATAATAATAATAGCAAATCAAATTATATATCTCCACTTGTTGATGAAGTTCCTTTTAACCATAATAATAATAATAACAACAACAACAACAATAATAATCATAATAATAATAAACCATCATTCACATCATCATCTGAGAAAATAACATATTCTTCACCTTGCAAAAAACCAATATATGTAAATAATATTGTAATGCCCGGAAACAGTTATGGTTATAATCATTCTAGAAAGATACATGATAATCAACAAATAAAAACCGCAAATTCTGATATGAAAGTTCACCGTAAACAAAAGTGGGAGCAGGACATGGCAAACCTTCTAGATTCATGGAGGCAAAGTGACCAAGATATTACTACGGATAGTCAAAAGTCAAATTATATGCCAAAAAATAAAGTAAAGGAAAAAAGTCGTATGAGCCATTACCCAAAGAATGAGTTTCAAGTATTCGATGATGAACCACAAAGTTCTGATGGCTGGACGAATCGTATGAATAATATGAATATAGTTGAAAACTGTTATAATAATGATATTAACAACAACAACAACAACAACAACAACAACAACAACAACAACAATAATAATAATAATAGGAAATTTAATCCCAGACAAAGAAATCAACAAAGTAACTTTGATCAATTAAAACAAAGACCAGATTCAATAGATTTCAAACATTCTAATGCTCTAGAATTCGGAAAAGGTCATGATTCATGCAATTCACAATCCAGACAACCATCTGCGTTATCTAAGTCAAGTAAAATCCGTAATTCATCATATTCTGCAATAGTATCACATAATTATGACTCTGTATATGATAATAACAATGGAAATAATCTACCCAAAGAATTCATAGAAAAACAGCAACATTTTAAAGAAGATAAATATAATCACAATACTAAATATCAAAATCAAGATTCTAAACATTTATCTCAAGATGCCTACTTCTCTTTTGGAAGGGGCGATGGCAATCATAGAAAATATTCCAACGCTTATAACAATTATAGAAAGAATTAATTAAGAATGCAATGTATTAATAAATATTTAATTATTTTAACTTAATGTAATGTATTATCATATTTTCCTAATAGGAAAGTCGTCGTAAAAAAAACTAAAAAAATTATTTGTATCATGTATTTTATTGCACTATATATATATATTTATTAATAAATTTTCCTTGGCTGTAAATTTCCAGCAACTGGTAATAATTTATAAATATCACAAATGAATGGGTTCATAGAGTTTCAAAAATATTTAATCATATATATGATATGCATCGCGCTGTATAGATATGTAAAAGGGGAAAAAATAAAATTATTTATTTATTTCTGTATATAATATATTTTATAATCAAAAATATGAAAGGGTTTTTAAAAAAATGTATGAATGTGAATATGAAAGGGTTGAAAAAAAAGGGCGGGATTATTTATTTTTGTATATATTATATTTTTATAATCGAAGATATGAAAGGGTTTTTAAAAAAATGTGTGAATGTGAATATGAAAGGGTTAAAAAAAAGGTGGGAATAAAAAGGTTTGAATAAAGAAAAGGGGTAAATGTGTTAAAAGGGAAATGCAAAATAACAATAATAATGATAATAATAATAATAATAGTAATAATAATAATTTAAATTTGAATTTAAAAAAAAAGTTGAAAAACAAGACTTTTTTTTGAATAAATTGTTCTAATAACTAACTATTCAACTAACTGATTGTATCATTTTATTTATAGATTGTTGCTTTTACATTGGTTAATTACCAAAGTTGAAACCTCCTTGAGGTAAATTTAAATCCGATTGAAAGACAAATTGACCTGTATTCATATCCATTTCTGGAGCCAAATTTGCATCCTCTTCATCTTCCTCAGCGAAGTATTTATCAATAATATGATACGCTTTTTTATAGATTTCAATGTTGTCGTGAATTTGCAAATTATGGATTTTTTCCATGCCGCCTGCTTCTTCAATAAATAGTGCAAATTGATTGAGACCATCAGCCTTTTCCAATTCACCAACTTTAAGAATATTTTCAAGGCCATCAAGAGCAACCTGAATAATTTTATTATCCATACAAGTTAATAGATCACAAAGAGGTTTGATACATCCTTGACTAACAAGATACTTTATTTGATCAGGCTTGTTTAATCCTCCTGAAGTTGCGTTAGAAATTGCCCAACATGCTTCCTTGCGAGTCTTGAAATCTGCATGTTCCAATATATGGATGATGGGTGGTATGATGTTTGCATCTATAACTGCTTGTATTTGTGCACAATTTCCAGCTGTGATATTTGAAATGGTCCAACAAGCTTCTTTACGAAGTCCATCTTTTGGACTGGACAATAAACTTAACAAAGCAGGCAATGCACCACAATTAATGATTACTTGAGTTTGAGCATCATCTCCTGTAACAATATTTCCAACTGAACGTAAAGCAGGTGTTTGAACAGAGGTAGAAGAATGCCTAAAATAAAAATAAATTTTATAAAAAGTCATTTAGTTATTTGCAATATGCGTAATGGTGATGATTATATTAATAATATACTAATAAATATATATGACAGTAATTGCAGTGCAGTGGTATTACTTACATCAAAAGTTCAACAAGTCTACGACAGACACCAGATTCAATGACAGCTTGGATTTTTTCATTACTACCATCAGACAAATATGATATTGCCCAACAAGCATCGATAAGAACTTCATCATCAATAGAATAAATAAGTTTGGCAAGAACTGGTAATGCAGGAACAATCTAAAATGAAAAAAAAATAGAAAAATAAATAAATGATAATAAATGATCAGTTTTTTTAATTATAATTAATTTAATTAACTGATCAATCAATCATACCAAATTCCAGTCAGGCTGAGGATTTTTGCCTCGACAGAAGTTAGACAAGGTCCAAGTTGCATTTCTCAACATCGATAATTTATTATTTTCGTTCAATATAGAGATTAAAGGTCGAAGAGCACCTGCTTTCAAGACAAAATCACGACAAGGTGGACTATCACCTGCAATATTGCCTAAAGCCCAAACAGCCTAATATATATATATATATAAATGTGTAAATTTAATTAATATATGAAAAATTAAATTAAATAAATAAAATAAACCAAATATTAACTTGTTCTTTAACATCAGCGACAGTACTGCCCAATAATTCAACAAAGATTGGTACAGCTCCAGCATCAATAACCACTTGAGTTTGTTGAGAAGACCCCGATGCAATATTTGTCAAAGCCCATGCAGCTTCAAACTAAATAGATATTATTATTATAATGCATGACGTTAACAAATATACCTTTTCTAAAAACGCATCATGTAAAATACTTACTTGTACAAGAGAATGAGGAGATCTTAAAAAATCAACAAAACGAGAGACCACACCACATTCAATAACTTGTTCAATTGGAGGATTTCTTTCTTTAGAAAGCAATTTTCTGAATTTGGTAGTTGCTTGCAATTGTTCTTCAACATTATCAGAAAACACACCACGAATCATTTCAGGTAATTGTTCTTGAAGCTAAACCATACATAATAGAAGGAAAATATTTAATGAATAGATTATTGTATATGTATGTATATATATATATATATATATATATATATGCAAACATAAATAATAAAATGTTATGTGCACAATTGAAGAGAAAATTATAAATTATGAAAAAAAAGAAAGCTAAATCTTTGTATAATAATATTAATGAAAATTCTTACAACAAAATAAAATCCATAAAGATGAATACTAAATTAAAACAAAAAAAAAAAATAAAAATAATAGAATAATAGAGAAGTAAATTTTACCTGAGCATTGATGACAGCAACAGCAGTCTCATCATCGGAATCTGGGGACAAAGCTACGTTTAAATTACGACGTTTTGCTAAAGATTCTTCGCGAGTTTTACGCCGAATTTCAATCTGTTGCTCTTCACGACGTCTACGTAACTCTTCAGCTTTAAAAATGGCCTTTGACTTAAAAGCATTTTTTCTATGTTCAGGTATTTTATCCATTTTTTGATCAAAGCCGTTCAACCAAATTTAAAAACACTGGTTAACCCTTTCAAGAAAGGGAAATCTAATATATATATATTAATAATAATAGTATTAACTAGGGTATTTTTTTTTTGAAAAGTGATGAGTCAGGACTGGAAATAGTACTTTAAAAATCCGGATTTCCTCTAAAAAATTTTAACTTTCGGAAAAAAAAGAGTTGCCGGATATTTTTCCTTTTATTTTTTTTTGTACAGATTTTTTCGTCCGCATAAAAAAAAATTTATACTAAATATATATACGTACAGTATATGTGTGCCATTACTTCAGTATTTTAGAAAAGAACCATAATTTGTATCTTTGAATTTTCAGAAGAAAAGTATTGACTCAATTTAAGTCTTATTTCACTGTTATTGAATTATTAAAATATATACACTTTTATGTATATTTGTTTTCCCTTATCCAAGAAGAATTAGATAAATTGACTACTGAAGCATTTATAGATGAAACAAATATTGATGAATCAGATATAGAAGGTTCAGATGATTTGACAATTCAAGGTTCAGATGATGATGATACTTCAAAAAAATCAAATAAAAAAAGAAAAAAATGTCAAATAAAAAAATGTATTTAAAAACCAGGAAGAAGTTTTCAGCATGGATGGCTAACATATATAAATTGTTAAATATGATGCAGCAATGAAGAGAATGTTTTACACAATTTGTAAAGTATATGGGGGAAAAAAATCAATTTGCAGAAAAAGGTGATAAATAATTTTGCATTTTGTAATTATAAATTTACTAATATTATAATGTTATTATTTAGGATCAAAGAATGTTTCAAAATCTACTGCTCTAGCAGCTCATGAACTTTCAAACCAACATAAAGATTCTTTGCTTTTAGAGAAGGCAAGTATAACCATGCATGATTCTTCCAAAAAAGCCATTAATAATGGTAACAAACATATAATTAATATTTACTGGATGGCAAAAGAAAATATTCCAATTTCCAAACTTCCAAGTCTTATTCATATCTTAAAACTTATGGAAATAGTGCACTCAATTCCATTTTCTAGTGTAGATTGTGAAAGAGGTTTTAGCAAACAGAATGTTATCAAACATAATGCAATGGAAAATGACACATTGCACATATTAACTATGGTTGGTTTAGAAGGTACTGATTTATTTGGTTATGGTTTTAATGATGCCCTTAGTAAAAAAAAAATAGAAGAATAAAATAAAGAAATTCTTAAATTTGAAAAAATTTTAGCACCCAAAAAATTTTCCTTTTTATTTTTCTTCCGGAAAATTTAACATTCAGGAGAAATTTCCGTTTTTTTTTTTCAGACCCTATTTCCAGATATAGTTCAATCAGGGGTATTACCATAGATAGAAATACTAAATCAATGGTATGAAAAATTCTAGAAGAAATTCTGATTGGCTAAATTCTGTGCAGATCTTTTCATTGAATAAAAAATAAAGGAAAAATAAAAACAAGAAAAACATGGCAGGTGCTTTATCAATTGGTCAAATAACTTCCAAATTACAAGATTAAGCAATACGAGAATTCATATTATATAGCATATTAACCTGATAAATGATTTTAATATGATATACAAATTTAATAATTTTTTCCTTTACCTACCATTCATTAATATCACTGATATCTCATTTAATAAAAATAATTGATTAATATTATGTATACTCTATGATTATAACTAAATTATTCACTTTACCCATTGAATATAAAAATTCCTACTAATTCATAAAACAATAAATATACATCAGAAAATTTTCCCTGCCATAATGTTACATCCATAAATTTTAATATGTAAAGTTGTAATATTTGCATAAAAAATTATGTAATATTTACACTCAATGTAATAATTGCATAATTTTTGTATGCTTATTTGCATAATATTATGGGCCCCACAGTAAACTTATGTAAATAGTGTAATAATTACATAAATCCATGTCTATACATGCAGCCCAAAGTATTTTGACACTGTCACAAAGGGGTTACACATGTAGTAAGGGGCATTACACTTATGTTTTTAATAGTGAATGCTGTAATTAATTTCTACTTTCTACCATCAAAATTACCAAACCAATTTGGGCTGCATGTATATC